TTAAAGTGGTAGTGAAGTTTGGTAAAAAATGTGCATAGCATACTAGCACATTGTGGAAGACTTACCTGAAAACAAAGTCCCCCCAGAGGCACAATGTCACAGCTGACAGAGATTACATCTCCGCTCGGTCTTCCTTCCGGGTTTGTGGACTCTGGCCATTTGGTTAGCCGAGCTGTGATGACATCACTCCTATGCATGCGAATGAGAGCCATGATCGAGACTCACTATACCATCCCTTCAGAGGGCAGTGCGCATGCACGGGTGACTGCACCGGCTGCAGAAATAGTGAATATCTCCTAAACAGTTCACACATAGCAGATAATTCTTGTACCTACAGGTAAGCTTTATTATAAGCATATAACTGTAGGTATAAGCCACCAAGCAGAGATTACTACCGCTGTAAAGGGCAAGTCTACTAAAGATTTATATTTAAGTGCCGGTTCACATATAGGTGGATTGGATGCAGTTTGAACCTAAGAGAAGATCGTGAGCTAATCCTGTCCTGAACCTAATGTAAACCCAAGATTTACCAGTGAACAACTTCTGTATCAATTAGATGTGAAACTTGAGCTTCAATCCACACTGCACATGTGTGAATCAGCTTAGTCTTTATTACGTTCTACTGTTCAAATTTTATCCATTGAGAAAAAAAGTTAAATCGCCTCCTGGTTTCTTTTACTACATTGAAAAGAAGCAAGAGCTCTCATGCAGTAACAAGAAGAGTGAAATTTTACTCTGGGCAGAAACAGAGCTGGAAGCTCTGTGAGATCTCTCTGCTGGTCTTGTCAAGAAAATATAAGATTCCAGCAGGCATTTCAGCCCACCTGACTTCACCTATAACCAAACTATTACTTTTGAGTGGACTGAACTTTTAAACATAACATGAATCCATTTTCTAAAACACTAGTAGGTGGGCGTTCCCGCCACATGAACTTTAAGTCTGAAAGTAGTATAAAACTGCTCTCAGGCATTCAACATTTTCACTCTTTCGCTCTTTCACAATCCTCATTGCCATATAAATGTTCAAAAATGCTACTATACCTATCACTGCTGTGTCTGGATTATTGTTTTATGCTGACCTTAGAGCACTGTAATTCACATTGTACATGGAACAGTAAAAATACTCTAAGTCAAAACTTGCTACTTTAAACCCGGTGTACCACACCACCATTATTCTGATCCTATTTAAGTAAATATATACATGAAATTATAGCATTCCAGTCATAGGTCTTTTTCTCTGTATCTTGGCAGGCAAAATTACCAGCTGTCAGTAAACCTGGATCAAACATCTCGAGCAGGGTAGTCCCCTTGACAACAATGTATGCTCTAGCTTTCAAAGCCTGAAGACATAAAGTAAACCTAACATAAAAAAAAATCTGTCCCAGATGAAAATCTAAGCTGTAGAAGAATATACAACATATCTACCCTTTAATCAATACATTTCCAGTCTTTGGAAGAGAGTAACTCCTTTAAAACTGTCCAAGTCACACCCCAGGGCATGTTAGCAAGGACTAAAGCTGTCTTTAGCATAAAACTCAATTTTTATATGGTGATTATAGGAACAGCTTAGTGCAGAAAGTTTGTACTTTCAATGATATCTTTTATTGGCTGTCTTAAAGTGATTGTAAATGCTGACATTTTTTTATTTAATAAAATAACAAACATGTTATATTTACCTGCTCTGTGCAATGACTTTGCACACAGCAGCCCTGATCATCCTCTTCTTGGGTCCCCTGGCTCCCTCCCCCCTGCTGAGTGCCCCAATAGCAAGCCACTTGCTATGAGGGCACTTGTGTGGGCTCACTCGCAAGCTTTGCTCTGTATGTCCATTGGCACCGCCCTGCTCCCGCCTCACAGGCTGTGACTTACATCAATGGATCCTGCTGCTGACTCTGTCCAGTGAGGAGAGAATCCAAAGAACAAAGGTATACCGCTCAGGCAAACAATCCAGATCAATCCACAACAGGTGCAGGCTCTGGCTCGCCACCACACACGATGCAATAGGAAGAAGGGTCAGCCGCACACTGGAGGATAGATGAATAGAGTGTATATTTATTGATCCTTAGTGATTAAGCACAAGATCATGTGAAATGCGTTAACAGGTCCTGTATTCATGTCCTCATGTTTTGTGTGTGCTATGGATCAATACATACACACTATATCCATCTATCCTCCGGTGTGCGGCTGACCCTTCTTCCTATTGCAATGAGGAGAGAGAGAGCCAACAGAGCCAGTTGCACATGGCTGGTTTGAGATCGGGCTCAGGTAAGTATAAGGAGGGGGGGGGGGGTAGCTGCATGTGGAAGATTTTTTACTTGATTGCAGGAAATGCATTAAGGTAAAAAAAAACCTTCTGCCTTTAAGACCACTTTAAGTTATTAAATATTTCAAGTTAGCCAAAAAAGAATATCACTTAAATTCCAAACTTTCTAATTTATTTGATAGCCAACATGGTAAAGCACTTTGCTACTGGAACAGTTTAGTATAATTTACAATTTAAGATGCTGAAAAGCAAACAAATCTGTGAACCCTAACTGTGTAAACAGTACTGAGGAACACAGGAATAAGTGGGCTTTAGTTACTTTAAACATCTAAGACCCATTTTAATTTACTGAATCCACTGACAAGCAATCATCTGCAGGGCCCCTTCCTATTTAGCACTTGCTGCAAACATTACAGGTGTTTTCACTGCTTTTAACCCCTCCCCTGTCCCACCCAAAATCTCAAGTCCAAGATCTTCAACAGTTCCTAAATATATAGGCAAGTTCTTATGTGTGGTACACTGGTCTAGTACCCTTTAGGACATATACACATAATGCACAAAAAAAAATTACTTAACAATAGAAAAAAAGAGAAAAAGGAAAACGGCGGATCAGTGTGTATCCGAATTCTACAAACAACATCAGTCAATCAGGCATGTAGAATGAATTTTTTTATTACATGCTCTTCTGCTTAAATATCACGGCTAGCTACATCTTCATTGATTCCAACTAAAAATGTATTACTGTAAACATTTATCCACCATCAATGACTCACTTCTACTGAGATCATGAATTACATGCCCTGTATTGCTTTCTTTCAAGGTTCCATGTAAAACATACACATATTTTTAGACAGCTTTGTTTCCAACTATTGCTAGAAGCCTTAACCCTTCAGCTAGACATAGACGTATTGTGTTAAAGGGAGGCTGTAGTAGTAACAACACACTCTCAAAACAACATGATCTGGAATATAGTTAAACACTTTTCAATGATTAATGCTTGTGCTGTATTCCGCTGCTGCCGTTCATACCTCCACTGCAAGAAGGTCTCTGTAGAATAACCCAATTCTCTTAAATATATCAGTACTAAGCTTCCACACATAGCTGCAACTTGTTTAACACTCCCTGCAGACAGCCACTGTCAAAGGTCGATAGCATAATATAGAGGTGCTATGGTAAACCATGGTATTACATTTCCTGCATCTATGAGAATATTCTTTTATTATGATGTCCCCTGAGAATAATAGTGAGGCAATATCGTTGGAGAAGGCAAAATCAAATTTGGAAGTAGGTAAAAGATTTGTTCTGTAATATCTATGTACAATTTTGAATATAATGCCCTATCTAAAAAGTAATCAGCATAATGCTATTGATTGCAAAAAAAACTTATATTCTAGGATAATGTTCCTTTACTTAGCATTAAGTCACAAGAGACATGCTGCTGCCTCATACTCTATATTAGCCCTCTTAAAGTGTTACTAAACCCACAACAGTAAAATCAGTCTGTATATGCAGTAAAGCATGCTTGTTATACTCACTGTGGAACTAAGGGGTTAATCCTCTGCATTGTGTAAAAAGGCCATTTAATCCTGACTTCCCTGCTCCTCATCTTATTCAAATGTCCACGTCTTATTTCCAGATAAGACAGACTGAACCATAGCCATTCTGCACATGCAGAATTAGTGTGCATTGCTAGAGAGTTTAGTTTAGTGTGTATTGCTAGGGAGTTTTTTTTCCTTGGGAGAGTGCATGTGATCAGCACAGGGCCAATCAGCACTGTCCAGACAGAGGTCAGGGGTTTTGCATCCTCCTAGAGCAGAAAGAAAGCTCCTCCTACAAGCTTTAGTCAGTGCTCTGCTGAACACTGATAGAAGCCACAGTGTCCCCCTCTTATCTCCTGATAACACATATTGTGTGGAGTCACTCTGCACATGCTCAGTTTGGTGTGTATTGCCAGGGAGTTTTTTTTTCTTGGGGGAGTGCATGTGATCAGCACAGGGCCAATCAGCACTGTCCAGACAGAGGTCAAGGGTCCTGCATCTTCCTAAAGCAAACTAAAAATCCTCCTACAAGTTTTAACATGTGCTCGGCTGGACACTGATAGAAGTCACAAGACTGCTCTAACTGCTGATGAGAAAAGGTATTTAGCAGTTTATATTTACTAAAATAATTGCACTTCCGTGTTCTGTGTACTGTGGGAGACCAGATATAGAGAATGCAGGGACTTAAGTTTAGTAACACTTTAACACTATTAACTATAGCTTATGCCTGAATTAAAAAAACAAAACAAAAAACACATTACATTATACACTTATATGTTGCAGTGCCATCTCTAGTTGTTTTTAAAATGATGGCATATTTAATAACTAATTATGGACAAATCTACCAGATTGTTACATTCTGTCCATTTGTAGATCTAACAGGCAAACTACTGTAAAAAGGCATAGGCAGGTAGGAACTGCCATAAGGGACATATACCAATGAAAGAACATTTATAAAAAATACCATACAACAGGCAGAGGGCCTTTTTATGTGGCTCTGACACTGAAAATACACAAATCCTTTAAAGAACATTCTTGGGGGATGCCTTAAAGCTGTTCATGGGTTTAGGGAACAGTATGATTTTCAAAGACCCAGCGACAGTATACAATGGCAGCTAATGCTGGAACTGAATTTGTTTCCTTTTACAATTAGTTTAGCTTACATACATGACCAGCACCCAGGGGCTTACTGACAACTCATGGGGCCCCCGGGCAATAGGGGATCATGGGGCCCCTATGTCCTTGCCCAAACTCAAAAAAGCCTATGAAAAAGGTACCAGGAGCATCTCATGGGGCACCCTACTGATTCCGGGCCCTCGGGCAGTGCCGAGTTTCCAAATGGTCAGTCCGCCCCTTCCAGTACCCCAATCTGATTAATTTCAGTTAAAAAAAAAACCTTTATTTCAGGTAATTGTAGTTTAGCCAGGCATATGACCAGCAGGAGAACAGCTATGAATTGCAAGGCTAAGCCCAAATTGTATAGAGACAAAGAAAACAAGCCGAGAACTTACTGAAAAAATAAGTTACTGTAGAGGATACAGCAGTGTAAAACTGGTCTGTTGCAATACAGTCTTAATCAGGGATATTAGGCCAAATTGTACTAGAGATAAAAAACCCAAGCAGATGTTTTACTACAGGAGTGAAAATACTAAAGTGGATACAGTAGTGTAAACTCTGGACAGTAGAAGGGCAATTTTAATGAGCAAGGCTATGACCAAACTTACTAGAAACAAATAGCACAGGTTGTGATGTTACTATAAAAATTAAGATACTGCAGAGGATACAGCAGTGTAAAACAGGTTAGCAGCAGGACAGTTGTAATCAAAGATAACAGGTCTAACTGCTGTATGCCTAACTTTTATTTAATCTGTTGGAATAGAGCGGTGAGTTGAATGTAATTGATATAACATAAGGTGTTTTAAGTGCACATCTCCACCTTAGGCTATCTCCACCTTTAGCAACATGTTAGATGTTACATCCAAATTTAGCATGTTGCTGAGCACCCAACCCTCACCTACTTAGCAACAGCAACTGAGAACTTGTTGGCAAGATTGTATCTACAATTTCATATTTTTGTAGATGCAGCATCATCCTTTGCAGCTTATATGGTGCAGGTGAAAGGGATCGTGATCTGATTCTAAATTTGCCTGTATATTCATTTATAGAAGTATTCTCATCCAAACAGAATGTATATCTCTTTTCTATTTTTAACAGAAAAAAGGTGAATATGAATGCATAGTTTTTGTTTTATTTCTTCTTGTTAGTTCTGTCTTTCCCTGTTTTTTTTTTGTACTTTATCTGCTTAAGTCATGAGTTTTAATTGTGTTTGAGCTGCTTCATGGGCTCTTTCAATATCAGTTGCTTTGCTTAGAGTAAGATCAGCATCTTGAATTATTAATTTCTTTTGCATGAGGTTGTTTGCTCCAAATACAATTCTGTCACTAATCATTTCATCAATATCAGCGAGGTCAATGCACAATCTCTGGCTTACAGTTTCAGGTATATCACAAGCTGTCCAACTGGTTAAATTACACCTTTTATATTGAATTCTGTTTAAGAATACATCATTATTATTATTATTATATACAGGATTTATATAGCGCCAACAGTTTGCTCAGCACTTTACAAAATAAAGGGAGACAATACAGCAACAATACAGTTCAATACAAGAGGGTTAGGGGGGCCCTGCTCCTTGGTGCTTACAATCTAAGAGGGAGGGGCTGGTGGTACAAAAGGTAATAACTGTGGGGGATGGACTGGTAGAAGGAATAGAAGATTCAGTTATTAGCTGAAGGCAGGATAGGCTTCCCTGAAGAGATACGTTTTCAGAGATCGCCTAAAAGTGGGCAGAGTAGGTGATAGTCAGATAGATTGGGGTAGAGAGTTCCAGAGGATGGGGGAATGCATGCAGTATCTGGCTTAAAGTGATATTAAAGCTTCCTTTTTTAATTAAAATAATAAATAGATTATACTTACCTGCTCTGTGCAATGGCTTTGGACAGACCAGCCCCAATCTTCCCCTTCTCTGTTCCTCGCAGGTGCTCCTGACTCCTCCCCTCTGCCCAGTGCCCCTATGGAATGCTACATTCTGGCTCTCTCATCGCTGGATTTAATTGACAGGAGTGGGAGCCGAAGGCTCCTGCCGCTATCAGTTTGCCCAGTAAGGAGGGACAAGGCCCAGGGAGCCGCAGCTCTCGTGCACAACACTGGATCAACATCCGGCTCATGTAAGTATAAGGGGGGGTGAGGAGGGAGTGTGTGACACAGAAAGTTTTGTACCTTAAGGCATAAAATGCACTAAGGTAAAAAATCTTGAGGCTTTAGAGCCACTATAAATTACAGTTGCTTTATTGCTTAATAATTACACCTGCTGTAATAAGCACTGAGCTGCAGTAAAGGCTTTACCTTATATTTACACATATTTCCATGTTCTGCAATATTCTGTTTTAATGCAAGAATGATGTCAATAATTATCATAAAAGCAGTAGAAACATATTTTTCAAGAGCCATGACTGTCTTATAATGGCATCTCTGTGTACAAATGATATTTCTCATCACTGTCCAATTTTCCAGCAATTGCACTGGTGACAGGAAGGACTTTTTCCAGAATGCCTTTAAATACATTACCTATGAAGCTGAAAAATTGTGCTTAACATTTTTAACACAGAGACTAGAAGAGAAAATTATTTAGAAATGTGCCATCATAATACAAACATGATGAAAGGATAAGTTCAACTTTATTTATTATTATTGTAGGTAAAAAAATGTGCATTTATTATTTTTGTTATTAGGAGCCTGTAAAGCATTGCACCTGTGAGCAACAGATTTCAGGTGCAATCTCAGGCTCCTGCAGCCTGTCAGTGTAGCTGTCTGACCGTACCTCATACAGGCAGTCAGTTACTTAATGACAGTAAGTATATTTGGTGTAAGACCTGCACAATCACTTGCATGTTTTGTAACCATCCATAGAACCATGAATGTTTAGTTTAAGGTCTGCTCTAAAAATGGCCAAAAATGCACTGATTACTTCTATGCCTACATCATTGATGTCAAATGCTTCCTCAACCTCTTCCCTCTTCCTTTTCTTTTTAAGCTTTTTAAGCAATTAGGAAGTAAAATAAAAACATTATGTACAATCCCCTTACCCCTCATTAAAAAAGGAATATCCTAGGGATCCCTAGCTACAACTTGTATCCAGGCAGTCTCATCTCTGAATTCATAAATGTGCTCCCATTTCATTTGTATTCTCAGACGCTATAAAACTAGTGATGGAAATTGCATTAAAACATTAGTAGCCTCTTCATCAGACTAAGGAATGCAATGGAAATGAGGTCTTTTACCCACTAATTACAATGGCCCTGGTAAATGTATGTAACAAGTAGAATATTTTAAACAAAACCAGCACTCTTGTTTCAGTACTCTCCAAGAAAATCAGTGCATTCTACACAGGCCAAAGAATCAGATTTAAACAGTCATTATATTTGCCTGCTAAGTAACATGCTTTAGAGTTATTTTATTCTGGGAAAAAAATCACAATGATAATACATTATTATCCACGATTTGCATAGATGCATGCTAACAATATTTCATCTATGTAAAACCAGTATGAAGTCCCATTAAAATTTATTGAATCAGAAATGTCTTTCCATATACAGAGGTATAATTAAACTGCTAAATTAGTCTTCATGCTTTTTTTCCCTAAAACATCTTTTTAAATTGTATATCAGCGGGAGTGGTCTCATCTGTTAAATCTCAAGAAACTGACACATCTCTATGATTAAAGTATTCTATCTTTAGTCTGTACATGAAAGTGATGATGTTCACAAACTGGTTCAGCTTTAACAAGATACACTGTAGCATTCAACATGTTTGTTAACTGTACAAACTCAATCACAACAGAACTCAGATTTAATGGAAAAGCAATTCAATCCAGATAAAATGCAGTTCAAAAATGACCACCTGAAAATATTCTGTCTGTACTAACCTATCCACCACAACAAAGTTTCCAAATCATGCCCTACAGTCACAACTAGAGTTCACATTTGTGGATATCTAAATCACTTTGCTCAGACAGAAATGACTCCAGTTGTGCACGTTAGGGTTACCTTCAAAGTGTGCACTGTTGGTAGGATTAGACAAGTTTAGGACAACTACACTACATTGCCAAAAGTATTGGGACACCTGCCTTTACACGCACATGAACTTCAATGACATCCCAGTCTTAGCCTGTAGTAATATTGAGTTGGTCCACCCTTTGCAGCTATAACAGCTTCAGCTCTACTGGGGAAGCTGTCCACAAGGTTTAGGAGTGTGTCTATGGGAATGCTTGACCATTCTTCCAGAAGCACATTGTGAGGGCAGGCACTGATGTCAGATGAGAAGGCCTGACTCAAAGTCTCCATTCTATTTCATCCCAAAGGCGTTCTATAAGGTTGAGGTCAGGACTCTGTGCAAGTCATTTAAGTTCCTCCACCCCAAACTCACTCATCCATGTATTTATGGACCTTGCTTTGTGCAGTGGTGTGCAGTCATGTTGGAACAGGAAGGGACCATACCCAAACTGTTCCCACAAAGTTGAGAGCATGAAATTGTCTAAAATGTCTTGGTATGCTGACATCTTAAGAGTTCCCTTCACTGGAACTAAGGAGCTAAGCCCAACCCTTGAAAAACAACCCCACACCATATCCCCCCCCCCTCCACCAAACTTTACACCTGGCACAATGCAGTCAGACAAGTACCGTTTTACTGTCAACCACCAAACCCAGACATATGCATCTGATTGCCAGAGAAAGAAGTGTGATTCATCACTCCAGAGAACACATCTCCACTTCTCTAGAGTCCAGAGGCAGCGTGCTATACACAACTGCATTCGACGCTTTGCATTGCACTTGGTGATGTAAAGCTTGGATGCAGCTGATTGGCCATGGAAATCCGTTTCATGACACTCTCTATGCACTGCTGTTGTGCTAATCTGAAGGCCACATGAAGTTTGGAGGTCTTTAGCTATTGACTCTGCAGACAGCTGGCGACTTCTGCGCACTGCGCACTTCAGCATGCTCTGTCATTTTATGTGGCCTACCACATCATGGCTGAGTTGCTGTTGTTCCCAGTTCCTTCCACTTTGTTATAATACCACTCACGGTTGACCGTGGAATATTTAGTAGCAAGATAATGTCTGGGATGGACTTATTGCACAAGAGGCAACCTATTACGGTACCATGCTTGAATTCACTGAGCTCCTGAGAGAGACCTATGTATTCTTTAACAAATATGTTTAACAAATATTCTTTAACAAGTGTACATATTGAGAGTGACCCATTGTTTTGCAAATGTTTGAAGAAGCAGTCTGCATGCCTAGGTGCTTGATTTTATACACTTGTGGCCATGGAGGTGATTGGAACACCTGAATCCAATGATTTGGAGGGGTATCCCAATACTTTTGTCAATATAGTGTATATTGTATGAGGCTGTCAAAACCTGCCATGCCATTTCCTTGTTTGACATGCTGCTGGCACTCGTCTCCCATGGCAGTCAGCATGTGATCCTGGTAGCCACCAGCAGTTGTCTCCCTGCAGTCATTGAACTGGACTTTTGTCATTAGTCACCCCCCTGGTTGCTGGGTGAAATTATAGACCCAACCTTCGATTAAGTGATCCAACAATTTGACTGTTTCCCTAATGCATTCTGCTACATCTCTTTGGCCTGGCGCTTTTTACCTTGCTTTACCTGCTCTTCTCTACTCCTGTCCAGCCCTGCTTGACCTCTGTTTTTTACCCTGCTCATATGGCATAGTTTGTACATAATATAACTTGCTGGAGTGTTGTATTAGATTGTTTTCCTGTTTTCCTTTTGTGTTTTGCTTGCTTGTTTCAATATTTGTTGCTCTGTTTGCCTTTCTCTTTCTCACTGTAAACAGTCATATTACACATATTCTAGATAATGCCTCATCCGGTAACAAGTCTGGTCACACCCGTTACAACACGATTCTAGCATCAGTTTCCAAGTCCTAATACTAGCATATAACCCTAAAAATAGCAAACTAGCAAAAAAAATGGAAAAAAGATAACAGGAATAAAAGTTGATGCCCGTATTGGCCAACTCATTCCATATTATAGTTTCAGAGGACATAAAAAAATAATTTAACAGATCACCAAAGATTGAAACTCTGATATCGAGCTAAGCCTTTTTCTACAATTTATACAAATAGCCATTCAATTAAAAAGGCTGTCGTTTTTCTGAAACTGCATTTGGGTTATGTTATGGCACATCAGATGAAAATTATTGAGTACAATCTTTGATACTTTTTTGATATTGGCTACAGTCACCTTAGACTCTGCGATTGTGTTTTATATGCATGCACTCAGGATAGTTTCTAGGGCTGTCTCTGCTCAAGGCATAACTAAAATATCCCTCCATTGGCAACCACTGAGCTCAAACCCTTCCGTATGTGGAAGCCTGAGATCACCAATCAGCCGACTTGGCAAAAGCAAAAAGAAGACAGCTTATCTTCAGCAGGGGAAAAAAACAAACAAAATAGTGCAGCCACTTTTGGCACACCACAAATAAATTATGGCTCACCACTAGTAACACTCATCCTTTTTAAAAACATTTTTAAAGCCCTCACCTGTTCCAGAAGTCCAGAAAAGCCACATGAGCTTTGCAGAGTCTCAGCCGATCAACAGCCTACAGTCCTCTCACAACTGATACTGTTCCATCATGCACCTCATAGACACCTGCTAACAGTTTTTTTTTTCATTTTCAGCACTTCCAGGACAAACGTCCTTGCAGTTAGAGTTGGAGGCTCTTTCTCACCCACCCCCTGAACTTTCAAATTATGGGTCCTAAATGAGGACATAAAAGTTCTGAGAGAACTGAAATCCGTTTTCTCCTCTGCAAATGGACCACCTTGGAAGCCCTCATCCTGGTTAGTTTATTCCAAAAATGATTTTTTTAAATAATTTCCCTTAGCATATATGGCTTCCAGGACCCAGTCTTGGTATCCTATGTACTGTATACATATTCTACATCACTGTATACAGGAGTGGGATATGGTGTTAAAGAGACACAAATGTAAAAAGTTTCACCTGAAATACTTCCAAATTGTTAGTCTGAGAATAGTATCCTAAATGTATCTCTTGCAATCATTTATCTCAAATGCAGAAGCAAGTCTCCGCTCCCCCTATATTTTACACCTCCCAAATGTAATCATTATTCTTTTCTATTGTGGTCATTAGTCATATATACTAGAGAATAAGTGGAATACCACACAATCTCAATTACTACATTATTTATCAGTATAGAATATTAAACTTTACCATAACTGCAAAGTAAATAATAAAAGATTACCACTGACAGGGCGCTAGTAGTAGCTGTACTCTGTGCATTGCTCTTCACCTTCATAGAAGCTAGTATGTGTTTAGAAAAAAAAAAAACCTTCCATGCTACCAACATGCCGAAAGCAAAAACCTTGCCTCCAAACTTTAAGTAGATAATTAATACAGTTCACTGAGTTTCCATTCAATTTTGCACCAAATCAAACAGAAACCACATTCTCAAAGTGTCATTATGCAAAAATAAAGATACTTGCATCAATACTTTGACATCCCATTACAAAGAGGCTCATTTTTCATAGATAAGGCTCATTACACAGAAGCGATATTATGTATTCGACTGCTTAAAAACACGGTTTAGGCGGTTATGCAAGATTTTTGATTATTCTATTGAGTTTAAACAGCATGCTGAGCTATTATTCATAATAAAACTACATATATTGAATATTTTTCCTCCTAATAGTATAGTTTAACCAACAACAAAGAAAACAGAAATATATTATGTGGCATTTCACAGAGACAAAACTGGCAGGAAGATTTACATGATTCATTTATTTGAGTGTCTGTGATGTGTTCCAAAATCAAACATCACTCAGTCTGGTGTAAATTACATAGCAGTTATCAAGTGAACAACATGGATATCAAATCCAATGTTATAATATGAGAAACTCTTGCCTTTTATGAGCAGAATGTAAACATTAAACAAATAAAAGTCAGTTTGAAGTTAGGATCGTTAGTGTTTGTTAGAGGAAAAACAACCATTAGGGGTTTTTTAATCTCTTAGTGCCTCTTCTGCCCAGAAGATGTGTATCTGTCTCTGCTACTCTAAAAGCTCCTTGACACTAAAAGATCAATATTTAACTGCAATATCTAAAAATGTATCTAAATATGTAAATATATAATAATATATGCTATCTAAATATGTTTCCGTTCACCTAAAGTTAAAACAATCCTAAGCCTGTGTCATGATTCATTGGAAATCCACCTCACCCCCACAGTTAGTCGATGGATAAATTCTCTCAACTACATTATGTACATGGAGGAGCTAGCCCGTTTCAAAAACTTGGTTTTACTGGACTTAATTCACCTTCTCTGATAAGTACAAAGAGCTCTTGGAGGGTGGCTCCACAGTAGTGAAATCCCCTGGAACCTGGGAAGAGAGTTCCATCCTTCCTCTTTCCTTTCCCTCCCTTTTTCCATCCCCCCTTTTTTTTCTTTCTCTCTCCTCTCTTTATCTCTCTCTCTTTTCTTGGTCCTTTCTTTCTTTCTCTCATTGTATCTCCAAAGATTTCTCTTTGGAAGGGTACCTGCAACCCCTGCCAGCAACATCTGTTTTCCTTAGCCTCTTATCGTATCATTACCCCTTGGCAGATCTATGACACAAGGTCTGATTCAGGGCTAATTTCTCTAGACAGCCTCATTCTTTTGAACCACATTCTGCCTACCCAATAGGATGTTCTATTTGTTTTAATTTTAGTTTGCATTCTGTATTGACCTTGGACTGTCATATTGGACACAACCAGTAGTTTTTCGTGGCCTTCTGTCACAATAATTATATTGGTCCAAGCTGGACCAATGTAACTATGTAACTGCCATAGCTTTAATAATCCAAAGTTTTAATTGCTGATCAGCCTGTATGTGCAGGTGTAATATGGACTTTCTATGTGAAAAAAACAAAAATATCTGGGTTTTTTTTTTACAGCAACCATAAGCTTCCTTTCATTTCTAAAGAATACTAGAACAATGACCTCTGAAAGCTGAATGGCTGCTGTACATAGCACACTTTTCTTGTCAATACTCTAGCCACCTACAATGGGTAATGAGCAGCGATGAAGATTTATCTCAGATACAGGTATAGTCTCTTGTGAGAAAGACAGCAACTCACACTGAAATAAATACATAGGCTGTGAATTGAACTGCAGTTTCAGAAAAGAGTCTTTCTGGTTTCTAGTACTCAACAATAAAGCCAGAACTATACCTTGTCAAATCCATTGTAGTTATCTTCTATGATTGTAAATATGTATGAGACTGAAGTTTTATTAAAATCCAACATTTATTCTGTGTCAGCACAGTTTTCACACCCTCCCCAGATTTGGCAGTGGCCATAAATCTAACATAATGAAAGAAAACTGTATGCTCACACACCATATTTTACATTTGTACATATGCAGCCAGTTTAACCACTTGTATGCATTACAATACATAAAAACAGAGAGAAAGAGAAGATAGCAAGATAGACGGGTGAAAAGATGGAAGCCTCATTCCATTATATGGGAAGATTAGACAAAATATAGATGTGCAAGAATAAAAAAGGATCCATTTGTAGATTAAACACACAGACATATCATTGTTTTTATAATTAATCTCATCTGATCATGAGACATACTTTTATATGTTTAAAATGTGATATATCCCTATTCCATTATTTTATCCTGGTTGGACTTGGCTTGATACTATATATAAACCTCCTGGATAACTACCTTTAGGCCCGACTTCTCTTCTTTTAATGCCACCGACGATCACCCTTTTTACTAACACTCACATTGAACATTCAGTTTGATAAGTGAACATTCAATATTGCTTTAGTAAATTAACCCCATTTAGTTTTTGTAGCCACCCTGTCATAAGCAGAGGAGGTGGTAATCTGCTTAGGCTGCCTGACCACTAGTACGTTTATTTCCAGTTGTGCATACTGGGAGAGAAAATAAATATTTGAGAAAATGGCCCGATGAGAAGTTTTTCTTCCCAAGCTTTGGCCTGAGGAGATATGTGTAGTAATATGTGCTGGCTAGGTTGGAAGTCTATTTGGCTATTCTGCCTGGTTGAGGAGAATACAGTATCTAGATGGAGTACCAAGGGAAGCTGTCCTGCTGGAGAGGGAATGAGTCTGACCCTCAGAAAATCCTGGTACTTACATGGAGACACCCACTGCCTGGCTGTGGAGCTTCAAAGACAGTGCTGATGGTTGCCTGATGGTTCATTTTTTTTGCCATACACCATGGTCTATGTTTTATTTATGTACTTTGAA